GAGGGGGAGGGGGAGGGGGAGGGGGAGGAGGAGGAGGAGCCCTGGGGATGTAGTTCAGTGCAAAGGGCCTAGATTCAATGGCCTCTTCTGCCGAAGAAACAATGAATTTCCTGGTCTCTCTCTAATAAGGCTGGCTTGGGGTTAAGTGGGAAAGAGGACAAAGGTATGCTAATGTAGCAGAGGTTCTTAACCCCAGGGGAAGAAAGCTCCAAGAAAAAAAGGATCAGGAGAAAGTACATCACTTCAGCTTTGCTCCCCAGGGCAGGAACACAGTTTCTCTTTAACCCTTGCGATTGATTACAACATAGATCTCACGAGAATGGCATGGGTGTGTAGCACCCGCCTCAGTTCCTGCTGTGAGCACTTCTAAACGGTCCCATGTGCTCAAAAGAAAAAAACCTCATCCTGGGGACAGCTTGTGGGACAAGAGCTTAGGATAATTGCTGTCACCTTTGGGTGTCTCTGAAAGGCGGACACTGCCAGGGTCACCAGCTAGCAGCTCAAGCCTTGGCTGTGTCAAGATGAGGGCTTTGCTAACTTCATCAGTCTACTTTGGCATGGCTTTTCGAATTAAATTCCAATCCACCACGTACACACTTCCCCCAACATTATTTTTCTTTCTATTTATCTTTCCACAAGATGCGCCCCAGTGCACTTAGGAATAGAGGCATATGTATAACAACCTAAAAACAAACTCAATAAATTCTAGAATAAATCTGGATAGAAATTTCTACAAAATAGTATTGACAATTATTTCAGATAGAATACACAAAAATTTTTTTGGATAGAAATAAAAACACATTCTAAATATACCAGAAAATGAAGGTATAGCCAGATCTGTAGGAGTTAGGAGGGCAGTAGCATGTGGCAAGGATTTTTTTCATTTTGTTTTGTTTTAAAACAAGTCAAGGATGGCCAAATAGCTCAGCAGGTTAAAACACCTGCAAGCAGGAACAAGGGTCAGGGTTCGATCCCCAGGCCTGCTGTGCTAGCCCCACCCTGGGGCATGCTGAGATGGCAATTTTTTTTTTTTTTTCAGTACCAGGGATTGAACTCAGGGCCTTGCACTTGCCAGGCAAGTGCTTATTCTACTGAGCTATCTCCCTGGCCCAAGATGGCAATTTAGACTGGGCATGGTGGCGCGCGCCTATAATCCCAGCTCTTGGGAGGCTGTAAACAGGTGGATCACTATGAGTCTGATCTAGTAGTGAGACCCTGAACACCCTGTAGACCCTCCCTAACGTACAAAAAAAACTCCAAAAAACTATTGGAATAACTTAATTTAGCCATAGATGTAGCATAATTTTCCAATACTTTATATAACTTGAAACCAAAAGGTTTTGTTTGCAAACATAATGATAAAATACATACACTTTGCAACTAATGGGAATGTCGCATTTGATTCTGCACTATATATGCGTGTGTATATCATAGTCATTTGAACCCAGAGACTTCTGAGCCTGCTGTCTTAACTGCTGTACCCAGTTGTCAGGAGCCCATCTCTGCCCCTTGGCACCACTAGGAAATTTAATGTATTGTCTTGCTTGATCATAAGAAACCTATAGTAAGTGTATGAGGACCCAAACTCCAGGCTAAGGATATAATTATGTGAAGCATAGATGTACATAACTCATGTGGTGTGATCAAAAATGCAGTGAAAGTTTACTTTTAAAAAGTTTGATTAAAATAAAAGATATTTTGCTGTTACTCCTCCTGTAAGTACACCCCATCTTTTTTAATATGTCCGTTCTGTTGATCTTGCCTCTTTCTGAATCAGTTCTGGAGAATTTCTTTTCTGAGTGGCTTTAGTTAGGGAATGTCTTAGCTGCCTCGATGTCCTGAATTCATTCAATGTATTTACCATTCATGGTCCTTTTTACTTGGAACAAGAGCCAGAAGTCCCTCCATGCCAGATCTAGTGAGCATGTTGAATGGGGACATCACAGTGTTTTTACAAGCCAGCCTTCCTATCAGATGGCATCAGCAGCAGCATTATCATGCGTTTTTATCACACGCAAGAATTGCCAGTACTTCTTGAAAAAGTGGCAAGAATGATGGCATAAATGTGTGTGAAGTGAGAAATATTTTGAGGAGGCTTGGTGTCTTTTACTATAGTAAATATTTTTAATCAAACATTCAGCATATTTCCTGATCACACCCCTGAGGTGAACATACTTGTCTTGTATTTTTTAACTTTTGGCCCTGGGTAATACTTTAACAAAGACTGTACAGCCATCCGGGCCTCCCCGCAAGCTGTCACCACCCATGACAGTTACCTCCCTCCAAAGACTCCCTCCTTGCTTATTCTATGTTACTGTGACACTTAACTGTGGTGTCAACTTGAATAAAAACTGTCCAGCTGGTCGTTTTGGCATGGGGCCTGCTGTACTGTAGCCTGCCTGTCCTTGCTTCCTTCCATGGCGACAGGTCCTACCAGGATAGCTACCTCCCTGGAGCTTGTGTTGACCCCATTTGGCCCACGTTTCCTCTCCTCCAGACCTTTCATCAGTGAGAGCTCCATCTGCCTTAAGGCTGACACATCAGAGGTACACAGCTTTTTGCTACTTAATTCATTTTTGCTTCATTATAAACAATCATATTACCAAGCAATTCCCAGAGTTGTAACATAGCTTTCAGTGGCAGAAATAGAATTACAGTGCAGACTCCTATAACTTTTTCAATTTCAGCCTGCACACATATTAATTTAATATATTTATAACCAACGCAGAGTCATTTATTAAGGCTTTAATTGGATCTCAATTTCTCCCATCCAAAGATTTTAAATGAATTCCAGAGATCATAAAACTCTTTTTGTCATCCACTACATAAATTATGCTTCCATAGGAGACCGTGACTGGAAGATCCATTAGAAAATGTTATGGGAAAGTCATTGTTTCACATTCTGAGCCAGAATAGAAAACTTTTTTTTCCTTGCTGGAAACCACTCTACTGCTACAGTTTTGACCTGGGAATTTTTCCTTATCCTAAAGCAGGTGTCTGTCTGGCCACATCCACATGTGTGTTGGTGTCTTTATCTGTGTCCAAGCACTTCTGTGGCTATGTGTTTTTAAGTGTATATTTATGATAATACACTGACAAATAAGTGCGGCAGCTTTACTCCTCACTTTAAATAGTAGATCATTCCAAATTATCACCCAGTCTGCATTCCCTAGACTTGAGCTTAGTATTATTTCAAATCATTGCAGAATTCTACTCCAGAGTTCACCATTATCCCTGACTCTACTGATACTTATCTGGGACAAACTCCAAGACAAATTATGCATGATTTAAAATTGCATATTTTAAATATTATATATTTTTCCCACTCAGTAACATTTCCCTTAACTCCATCTCAGGTTTACGTTTCTTTCTGGAAATTCCCATCTTTATCCACATAAAATTTCTTTTTCAAATGAATCAGTAAAATATAATATGTTTTCTATTAAAAGAAAAAACCTAT